CCCCGGCCCCGACGGCTCCCCGCCGAGCTCCCGAGGCCGCCAGGACCGCCCGTCCCGCGCCTCTCCGGCCCCCGGGCAGCCGTCAGCGCGCCCGGCCTGCCGTGCAAGCCGGCGAGCAAGGCGAAGCGGGCGGGCGAGCCGGAGCCAGGCTCAGCGGCTCCCCGGCCGGGCGCTCCCGGCTGCGCGCGCTTTGTCCGGCCGCCGAGGAAGCGAGCGGGGCCGCCGCGCCGTGGCGGGCCGGGCCGGGCCGGGCCGCGCCGTCGGGCCGTACCTGGGCGCCACGGCGAGCTCTCCGGGGGGCCGGCGCGGGCCGTGCAGCAGCCTAGCCTGGGCTCGCCTAGCCCAGCCGGTCCCGCCTCGACGGGGCGGCCGGCCTGGGAAGAGGCGTCCTCCGCAGGCTGATGCAAGATGCCTGCGCGAGCGGCGCGCGTCCCGCGGATTCCTGGGCCCGCGCCAGAAGTCCCACAATCCCACGTCTTCCACATTTGGTTTCAATTAGGGGACGGGGACGGGCCGGAGAGGCACCAACTGCCGCCGGCCGCCCTCCGCAGGCTCCTTCCCTGCGCTCGGGGAGCGCGGCCGAGCTGTAATTTACGGCAAAGGCGCGCCGGGCGCCGGGGCGGGGAGCGCGTATCCCGCAGCCCGGCCCCTCGGCCGGGAAGGGCCGCCGTGCCCGGGGCCTCCCGGCGCGGGCAGCGGCCTTCGGGCCGGGCGCTGCCGGCCAGCCTGGCGCAAAGGGCCGGGCCGCGGCGGCCCTTCGCTGCTTCTGGCGCAAATACCGGTCGGGTGACCCCCAGTTTTGCTCGAGCGGGGCCGGGCCGCTTTAAAGGCAGCCGTTTCGTGTGAAAGGGCCAAGCGGTGGAAATCCGGGCACCGGCAGGGGGGCCGCAAAGCCTTCCCCAGGCTGAAATCGCAGCTGGTCTTCAGGGGCCCCTCTGGTGCCAGCGTGGCTCAACTGGAGCGCTGCAGATACCCGGCATGAGCCAACGTTCACGTGTTGGTCCAATTTTGACGAGTAAACCTGGCTTCCGGCTCAGAACCCAGGCTGTGTTGGTTGGGTACTGGCAGGCATCAAATACGAAGTCGCAAGCGCTGGCAGTGGTCAGGGTTCAAGCTGCTGACCATCCAGTTCTAAACTGCTGTCCAAGTGCCACTGCTGGTCCTGGGCAGCACCCAAGCAAGGGCGCGGAGAGCACTTGTGCACGGGCAAAACCCAGCCTTCCCCGGCTTCTTCCCAGCTCTCCAAGAAGCAAGGAGCCAAAGAGCTGCTTGGGCATGCAAAGTCACCTTGGCTCAGCTCGACCGCTGGGCACGCAGCGCTGCCCTGGCGCCCTCGTGGGGCTCACTCAGCATCTTGAGAGTGGGCTCTGCACTCCAAAAAGTTGCTGCCGGGCGACAAAATGGCTAAGAAATGTGGCCAGCCATAAAACACCTGTTTTCCAGAAGGCACCTGGGCAAGGCTAGAAGTAACCTGTGCAGGAACCGAACCGTAGTTAGTCTGGATGTCACTGCTGTTGTCTACGAAAGATCCGCACAGGTGCTGCTTGCTGCCAAGCGACTGCTCTTCAGAAGCTTCTCTGCCCAGTATGGAGATCCGTTCTCTAATACGGACGTGACTGTTACACACCTGAACAAGGTGGGCGCATCTTAGCCTGGTGGCTCCAATCCGGCCATTCTGCCTTGAGTGACCCTTCTAAGAGACCAGGCCTGGGGCATCGCTCTCAGCTCCTCTGACCCCCTCCCCACATCCAGGCGTGCAGCCAAGAGCAGGAGCAGTATGGTATCATCTGCTAGTCCAGTTTATTTTATCTTCCACCAATTTGCACTCCTGCTCTCTCTGATCCTCATCCACATGGCTTGATAGCCTGGTCTATCAACTAGGGCTTATACAAAGCAGTTTCCTGTATTTAGATATAGCTTGTAATTAACAGCAGCTTCCTGTTGTAAGTAAAAACTCCAAAATTTCTCCCCTTCTGCAAGGATAATAAAATCTCTCACCCTTCTAAGAATTACCTAAGCTGGAGCCCTTCACTAGCAATTGCAAGAATAATTAAATATGGCCATACAGTTGTCCTGTGTGCCTGCAACCAGATTTCAGATGGATGACCCAAGCAAGTGAAAAATTCTGCATGCTGCAGAAAGCAAACGGTCTGCCAGGTCAGCTTTTTCCCCACACTCCCGTTTCTTAAAAATCCTTAGTTCCAGAAAAGCACAATTCCTTCAGTCATAGATTCAGTATTCCTATTCTGCTGAATCTATGTGGGCCTCGCCTGCAACTGTTCTGTTGCTTTGGTTCTTGAAACTGGGGGGGGGGCCAAGAGGCCGGAGGGGCATGAACTTCCGGGGAGGAAGAGGAGCTGTGGCGGGCAGATGCTCTGGCTGGCTGCCGCCACCCCACTGCTAGTGGGCTGCATGCTTCCTGGCAGAGCACCCGTGCAGCTCCCCGTTCCGACAACCGTGCCTGCATTTCCCCATGATCCCAGAGTGACCTGGGGAGACAGGAGGCCAGAAAGGTGCTTCCTCGCGTATCTTTCCTCAGGTGTGGCTTCAGGAGGAAAGCCTGCTCTAGGGAGGCAAGCTCTCATGGGGGTCTTTGCTAGCAGCAGTGGGTTTACACACGGCCGGACACACAAAACTTTGCGCGATCAGAGGCAGGACGTGGGAGTGGTCCCAGCGAGGGTTCCTGGGAATGAGTAAAATCAGGCGGCAGGACCAAGACAGCACAACAGTTCGTGGAAATGCTGGGAGAGAAATAATTTAATTAGATGTCATTTCCTCCCTGCTCTTTTCAATTGTGCAACCTCTGCAAGACACAACCTTTAATAACAGCATGGGCTGTAAAAGAAAACCCAAATCTGCCTTTCAAAATCAAGTCACACACATTTGAGAAAAATACCATTTCAGATTAGTCTCTCGACCCTGTACCGTAAAGATCCTTTGTAGGCATAACATAGGTTTTTATACAAAATGCAGTGTTCCGGCTATTTTATGTATTAACTTTTTTTAAAATCAAAAGTTATATAAATAGATATCCCCAAGATGCCTAGAAGAAAAATACCACTTCCCTTCCTATTGCAGCCAATCCGTTTGAGTGAATCCTCCCATAAGTGATATTAGAAACCTCTGTGTGAACATTTACAGTCCAACAAGCAAGAATCACAGGAAAATCTGGACCCAAAGGATGATTCTTTCTTCCTGGGGATCTCACATGCCATTCTTCACCAACTCATGGACCCCGCTTCTGTCAATAATCAAAGGGGCACGGAACTGTTTGTCCTTCACAAACTCCTCCAGACCCTGGCAAAAAGCAGCAGGAAATATTCAGAAACTGGCCACAATGGCTTTTGTAACATTAAACTCTGGCTGAAAACGAAGCACGGTTCAGTGGGCCACTGTGAAGATGGACTTAGATGGGGCGGCTTTGATTTCCTGTTCAGTTAAGAAATATTGCATCTGCATAAGAAAGGCTTCCTGGATGTCAGTTCTCCATACAGATACCTAAAGTGTTAACGGCCTCCCAGGAGGTGTTTTTCATGGGGCTGGATAACATAAAAATGTCAGGACCACCTGGCATATGGCCATGGGCAGTGGTGTCAAGCGTGAGCGTAAGCCTTCCGTACCCCATGCTGCACTGGTCCTGCGTCACGAGGGCACATGCTTTGTCTGGACTGCGTTGAGCCAGCGCCTCAAGGTGGACCGAAGCGGGACTGCTGGCAGTCGCTTGCCCAGAAGGCACCTCTTTCAATCAGGAGGGGACGCTTTGCAAAGGTGGCGTCGGGGCCTTTTGGGAGCAGGCTAATAAAGGTTTTCTGAGCTGGTTTCTAATGCAGAATGCCGTGAACATATAAATGTAATCCAAAAGCCAGTATTAGGCGCTAATAAAATAGCTGCAGCCAGCAAAACCTTACTAGGAGTCAGAAAACTCGGCTAAAATTCAAGTTTACATACCAAGCAAAGTAAAAGCTGTCTTCATCAGAAAGGTATGCAGCAGTTTTGTAAATCGGTCTGTATAAACAGGCCGAGCCACAAATGTATGATAGATCAGGCATCGCTCCGGCAACAGCGTGTCCCTTTGGGACGTCAGGGCTTTTGTGCTTGGCCAGGACACCCCATCCCATTGCCAGAATGAGCCTGCAACCCTTCCCCTGCACCACCGAAGGGACTGTGCCGTCAGTTCCAGTTAAACCACCGTCCAGCAGGGCCAGGTAATGCAGGACGCACCGCCCAGCTTGGCGTCAGGCCCTCCGACGTTTCAGAGCCGCTTATCCATCCGTGAAGCAGAATGCACGTCGTGCCGCCCGTCAACGTCCCCCGGAGCCCTGTGCTGAGGTCCTGCTGCCATGGACCGGGGACTCTGACCGCAGGCGTTCTGCTCTGCCCCCTTGCAGCCGGCACCGAAGGCGCTGCACCGGCTGATGCCAGGAGGTCAGAAACAGGCTTTGGAGAGGGCTGCAGGGACACGGCGAGGCCTGGGGGCACAGCCGACCTCCGTCCAGGCCGTAACCTGGATCCTTCCCTTCCGCCTCCACAGAGCGTCCCCGACAAGGCCGCAAACAGCTGCCTAGCTTCAGCGGAGGCCACAAGGTGCGGGCGGTGGAAATGGCTGCAACTGGGCCACGTCCCCGGACTTGATGTGCCTGAGCCCCCGTGGCTGGGGCTGATGGGCACCGCAGGCCGGCACGACCACGGAAGAGCCCCCCGCTTCCTCCTGCACTGGCTTCCCCCACGGAGCGCACTGTACAGAGGCGACCCAGTGCCCCCAGGCTGGCTGGTTCCGGTCTGCGGTGGGACGGGGGAATAGCGGCGGCCTCCAACCATCAAGGCAAGCGAGCTGACTCCAACAGAGTATGGGAGCCAAACCAAGGGAATTGGGGGGGGATCGGGGGGGGTCAAACCCTGGCAGGAAACATCAGGTCAGGAGAGCGAGCCATTCAAGCACTGCCCACCATCCCGCCCCCGAGTGGCGTGATGCAGTCAAGACCCTTCGGAGGCGGAGGGAGGGCAGGAACCGTCCCGCTTGCATTCGGCTGCTCCCCTGACCAGATGCAGCTCCCACCTGTGCTGCAGGGGGATCGGTGCTTTGATCTGTGCCATGGTGAGCTCACACGGAGGACTGTCCTTTGCCTGCCCCTGCTGGAGAGGGAGGGGCGGGGGTGCTCCTGGCTCTTGTGCGGAAGCCCTTCCTGGGGGACCGCAAGCGAGACTCCCCTGAAGCCCTGCCTGCCAGCCACCCTGAGCACCAGGGCAGCAGGACGGGACAATTCAATGCGGCTCGGGGGAAGAAGCAAAGGACCCCACCACGACTTACTTCACCACCGTAGGAGACAAGAGGGGAGATCTCACACTGAATGGGAAGGTCGTTCGCATCCTTCAGACTGCAGAAGACAAGACAAGGACAAAGCAAGTCCGTTAAACCCCAGGCAGGCACAGGAGGCCTCAGCCTCAGTCTGGCAGGTCAGTCTTAGATCGGCGTTTTGCTCGGCTCCTACCCAAGAAAGAGTTCAGCAGCAGGTCCATCACCCAGGTCACAGGGATTAGTTAAGTATGCAAGGTGAGCTTGTTAGAGAAAGGCCCGGAGATGCTGCGGCAGCGCTTGTGAGGAAGAATTCCGAAATGTGACCCACGCAGGCCAGTGCCCCTTTTGCACACCTGGTTTCAAAGGCAAGAGCAGCAACGTAGCTGGAGCAGATGAGCACCTCAAAAGCGCCCTCCTCTCTGGCTTAGGGCACTTCAGGTGCTCTGAAATTCTAGGTCTGCAAGCGGTGAAATCTGTCAATTGGAAAGTAACGCTTGAGCTGTTTAATCGGTGAAGGTAAATTTTAAATCAGCAAGGCTGAGCGGCAAGAGCATACGAATATATTCTGGGGAACTATTTTGGTTCTGAGAGAGAACACAAACATTTGTTCTACGTGGCTTTGCTTTCTTGCCATGACCAGGAAGTGGCTTATTATTTTGCGCTTCTAAATCTGAAAAAGACAGCTGTCCTGTGCAAACTATTTCAATTTACTATATTAAACCAGTCAATAAATCTGCAAAAGTCACACGTGAACGTACTCCCCTGCATTTGCTGCTCAGAGAGCATTTAAAAATAGAAAAAAGGGTGGGATTTTCGCATAATCACCACCAACAAATGTAAACACGGATTTCCCTGCAGAAAATAAAAACACAATAATCTGAAGTGGCCCTTAAACCACTGAGGTTCCTTCACAATCAAGAAATGCATTAACTATTTCATTCAATTCAGAGAAAGAAACCCACAGCAACACTCCGCAACACCAGGAATACAATGAGCAGAACAGAGCACAGAACTTGGCCTGGAACCAAGTCGGTCCTTCCAGCCAGTACTGCTTACCCTGACTGGCAGGGAGTCTTCAGCCTCTCAGGTGGCCAGCTGGGTCTGCATACGGCGTCTGACTGTGCAGGACGCAACAACCAGCCACAGATCATACCCACAATGGTTTGTCAAGTCATCCCAATACTCCCAGCACGGCTTGGCTGAGGGTAGTAAGACAGGCCGGAGGCCTGTTGTTTTAGGAGTTGATATGACAGTTTATTGTCAATACAGCATCTGAACGTGGTTGACTGACTGTAGAACGGGATGCCTTCTTCTACCCTAAGAACTGAAGGTTTGGGGTGGAAGGGAGCTCTCCCCCTTGTGATACCGTTTGGGAAACAAGAGGAAGAGTAGGAGAAGCAGTGTTCTCCAGATCATGGGGAACGGAAGTCCCCGTCTCTGCCCTGAGGCCTCTGAATTTGCCAGGGGATTTTAGGGCAAGAGGAGTTTCCTCTTGCTCCCAGGATTTGGAAGAGAGCAAGTGAGCTGGACCCCACCCCTTCGCTCCTTCTGTTCAGCAGAAAGCACTGCAAAGGAGTGGCCACTGAAGGTTGCCTGGTGCTGGCAGGAAGGAGCCAAGCGACCCAAATTCTCACTTTAAGGTGGGCAAGCATCTAGGGTTAAAGCAGAGGGTAAAGCAGTCTTATTTATTTCAGTGCCGCCCCACAGCCAAAGCTCTCTGGCTGGTTTACACAGTCCATTCAAAACAGACGATAAAAATACAATGAAAATGTTGCAAAGCCAGAGAAAGAATAAACATGTTAAATAGCTAGAAACAGATGATAAAAACAGAGCATAGCAAGGAATAGTTAATGAAAGAGTGGCTGCAGAACACCTGGGGAACCCCTCAAGCCCCTGGCCTGCCACGTCCTTCTTTAAAAGCCTCGGAAAAGCGGGCCTTCTTCACCCAGCACTGAGAGGATGAGAGATTTCTTGCCAGCTGGGCCACAGTGTGGAAGCTATTCCAAAGACAGGGGCCACCACCGAGAAAGTCCTCTCCCTTGCTGCCTCCCCTCCACACTTCCCTCAAAACTGGCAGCCCAACACCGTTTAAGAGCACATGATTCCAGATGGGAATGGTACTTTGCAGCAAGTGCTGAATTACAGCAGAGGTCAAAGACCGAAAAAGAGCACTGGGGGCAGGGACACTCCAGCACGGAGATCCACAGAAGAGGTGCTCTGCAGGGCTCCAGCCCCCACAGGGGCCAGTTTGTCTGACAAATGGGAAAGGGATTTCTTCTGGGAGAGCTTTGAAACGGGCTCCCCCCAGAACTGTCACTGACCACTCCAATTCTCTTTAACTTAAGAAAGGCATCCTTTCCGCTTAGCCTTTTAAAACATGTCATTTCATGCTTTTTGATGTTTTTATTTTATTGCTGCTGGGTTGTATTATTAGAAATTGCTGTATACTGTTGATAGATTTTTATTTATTTATTTATAACATTTCTATGCCGCCCCTTACGCAAAAAGCCTTGGTAAAAGTTTTACACGGTAAAACTTCTGGAAGATAAGCAAGCATTCTGGCCAAGTTAAGCCCAGAATCCCCGCCTGGCAAACATGTAGGTCAGCTCTAATTTGAACACAAACTGGGCACTAGAAACACAGCTTTGGATATTTTTCTACCTCTGTGCATAAGAAAAGTGGCTGCAGGGCGTCTCTCAGTTCAGCCTTGCAGATCCTCCCCGAGGAATGTGTCCAAGCTACTCTTGTACTTCAGTTGCGAGAAGCGGCAGCTACAGGGCTCGATTCTCAGACATGCACCCTTCCCGAGCATGCACAAGCTGGCCTTGGAGCGGCAGTCCCCAGGTGGCGGGCACGTCTCCGCCAAGAAGCGGCTCCGCGCTGAAGACCCCCCTGCCAGGCCGAGCGCGAAGCCCCGGCATGCCGCAAAGAGGCCTGTTAGTGAGTGCCCAAGCGGGGCCCCTCTCACCATGCTTCCCAGCGACCCCGGACCGTATATTTACTTGTGACTGACATCGGCTTGGACCGCATCTGACCTTCCAATTGTGGTGCTGTCGTGCGGGAAGAAAAAGGATTAATGAGGGGGGAAACGAAGTTGTGGGATGTGCTGAATCCAAACAGCAGGCTTTTCTGGGAGTCCTGTCAGATGCTTGGTGGGAAAGGAGCCGTTCATCTACTCCGAGCGGAGCGTGGGGGCACCGTATGCTGGCCCCAATGGCACCCACGTGCTGCTCAGGACGTCGTTTCTGACTAAGGAGGTCTCTTCTGCACACATCCTGATCTAGCTCGGCCTTTGCACTCCATCCAAGTGAACGGGCACCTTGGCTGCTTTTCAGCATGACCAAGCAGTGCAGCCTCGGACAGCTGCTTCATCGTGCAATTGCCCTGCCGACCCAGTATGAACGAAGGCGCATTCCCCGTTGCTCAGAGCGCAGATGGATCACACTCTCCTCCCCTAAGCAAATGTTCTGGCGCTCTCAAGCCAAGGGCGCTGCTGCGCCCTGAGCCAGAGTCCCGCCTAGCCCAGCAGTGGCTACTCTGACTGGCAGCAGCTCCGAGGGCTGTGTCCTTGGGAAGCAGCCAGCCCAGCTGCCCTCCAAGCCAGGACCATGCTGAGGCAGGGCAGGAAGTACACGTGCCTCTGGTGGGTGGGGCCACCCTTGCAGCAAACGGGGCTCACTGTGATGCAGGCATGCCCCATATCGGGGGGCTGGAGCAGGGGGACGGGGCAATGGAATAGGGGCAGAACTGGAGGACTCCCAAAGCCAGCTCCAGTGGTGCGTCTCCCTTGTGCTGGCGATGAGCTTGCTGCTCACTGTTGTGGTTCTACAGCAGGGTTCCCCAACACAGCGTACCTCCGAGGGCACCCACACAACGCTTCTTTGAAAAGTTGAAATAAGAAGGGAAAAACATGGCGGCACCAAGATCTACTTTCTGTTCCTGAGCTTGCTGCTGATCAGCTGTTTGGTTGGCAGGAAGGCAAGGAGGCAGTGGAGAGAAGAAGACCTGGGCTGCAGGCTGGGAGGCAGGAGAACCAGAAAGAGCGAGAGTTGGTGGGAGAGAAAGAGCAAGATTACAGGACAGAAGGAAGGCTAGTGGCAGAGAAGAGAAGGGACAGACAGAGCAAGGAAAAGAGTTGGGGGAGAGGCATCGTGAGGCTGGAGCAGACAGAGGAGGAGGAGGAGGAGATCCAGGGTGGAAGGCGTGTGTGGATGGGTGAAGATTGGTCAGGAGCAGCAAGCAAAGCTTTAACTCGTCTCCTCCATCCCAGCCTGCAGCCTCTTATTTCTCCCTGCACCGACCTCTTTGCTAGATGGGTGCTCATGGCAGCCATTATGTGACGTGGCTCCATTCTCATGGAAGCCATTTTGTGACAGTGCCTGTGAAAGTTACTCAAACTCCAAATATGCCTGTGGCATTGTTGGGGACCCACATCTAGTGATGGCTAGAGCAGGTAAGGGAGGCAGAGCCTACAGGCGCTGTTCCCCTAACGCTTTGTTTGACCCATGGGGTGCTGGTGGAGCTTCCCAAAGACTGGCATTCCATGCGCTTTCCCCCAACGCCGTGCACTCTGCAGGGTAACACAATGCAAGTGCGGAGGGGGATGCTATGCGCTTGAGAAGAAAGCAACCGGGACTCCACTCAGCTGGCCTTCTCCGGCTCTCCTGGGTGCACAGCAAGCGTGTCCAGCCTTAGAGGATGCATGCTGACCGCAGGTCCGGAACGGGGTGCCAAAGCGCAAGGAGGCCTCTCTTACCGTGGAATGGCAGGAAGGCACGTCCCGTTCTCATCCACAAAGCGGCCACCGGCGTTGAGGACCCAGCAGTGATGCAAGGACATCAGCGAGTGCCGGGCGGTGGTGGGGTTGTCCTTGCCGTTCTGGCTGTCCGCGTTCTTTAAAGGCGAGAACTCATCCTCTCGCAGCACTTCGTAGACCAGAAAGATCCTGGACGCAGAGCAAAGCAGACGCAGGCCGTGCAGAAAGACCGCACGCTCTTAGAAACTGCATGTAATCGGAAGAAAGCTGACGATACTGAACAAGGGCCCAAAGTCTAAATCCTGTTTTGAGATGGGCACCTGCGGGCCTGCAACCAACCCTCCCCAGCCACACGGAGGCCAAAGCCTCTGGAGACGGGCTGCAAGCAACTTTCTAATCTTCACCGGGGCTGCGCTCGTCCTTCCACAGGCGGGAGCCAGGAGTGGACTGCTGCCGCCGGAGTCCTACCGGCACGTACCTGAGCTCCACATCAGAGCCTAGGTACAGAAGGAAGGGCACTACCTGGCTGCTGCCTCCTCTTCATGCCCACCCCACGTGCTCTTCTGGGCTCCCACTGACACTCCTGGGGGGAAGCAGTGCTCTCTCCCTTACTCAAGACCATGGAGGTCGCATAGTCTCCACCCTGTTTTCTTGTTAGTTCTTTCTGATCTCACGTGCAGGAGACCATCTTGCTCCTCCCTCTGTCGGCCTCACCTAGGATTTCCAGGCAGCATGGCTTCCCCTCCCACCAGACCCCTACAGCTTCCACATTCTACAACTAGGAGGATCAAAACGGGACCTTCAAAACGGAAAAGGAAGCCAAACATAATATACTATAATGGAGACAGTGACAGAGAACACGAACCACCTGCAGAGGTAGGTGGAGAAGCTGCTGTGAAGACTTAAAGACCTACTTAGCAAACTGGAAGATGTCAAAGACAAACTTCTCCATCTTAATCCCATTCGGCTTGTCCGGCTTCAGAGGCTTCCCCGTAGCCACATCAATGTACGGGATTTTCTTCTGGGCAATGTGGTGCTGCAGGTGAGGCTCATGGACACTGGAATGCCAAGGGCAGTATTAGCAGAGTATACCACTAAGCACCAGGATCCATCAAGGTCTACTAGTCAAATAAAGTTGCCACGTATCAGCCACGGGAGTCAAGGAACAAGGGATGGCCACGACCCTCTTGCCTCACCTGTGGGCCATCTGGCCTTTGCACTTCATACTAGGCAGTTCTTCAGTGTTCGCATGATTCAAATGCCTGCTTTTGACTACAGCCTAACCTAAGCCATTCCAGTTCAGCGTGGGAGAGACCATCTTCTCTCACCAATCCCTAGTTAAAGCGAGATGCAGCTCTGAAGCCAGGAGACCCAAAGAGGCGTGCTCATACTTGAATTAACTGAGGGCTACAAAACAAAGGATTTCGCACTTGATGGTGAAACCCCGAAAGATTAACTGGTGTCATTCATTTCAGTCTTTAAGCTGAGGAAAAGGGGAACACATATCCAGGCCCATCCCCCCCCCCAAATCAGGCTGCAACTACTTGACTGGACCATGCCCAGGCTGCAGGAGAGATCACTCTGCTCATGTTCCCCGTGAAGAGCCTTCCTCAACAACGAAAAGCAGCATGTTTTGGATGGAGCTAAGGCAAAATGTGTTCGTCCTCTATCTGAGGAGAGCAGTGCTTCCTGAGGAAAGCATTCAAATACTGCGCAAGGGGTCAGAGCAGGATGATCCCTCTGTAATATTAAAGGGGAGACACATTCTTTTCCCAGGCCTTTTAAGTTGCTTTTATTCCTTGGCGTGTGTTTTTATGCTGCATTTGAAGGGTGGCTTTTATTGCTCTGGAATTGAAATTTTTATTTTTATTGTAAGCCTCTTTAACTCCAGTCCTCCGTCAGCTTCACTGGCTTCCCATTGAAGCCCGGGCCCAATTCAAGGTGTTGATTATGACCTACAAAGCCCTAAACGGCTTGGGTCCTGGCTACCTGAACGAGCGCTTACGTCCGTATATGCCCGACCGCCCTTTGAGATCTGCGGGAGAGTCCCTTCTCCGGGAACCCTCCATGAAAGAAATTAGGAGAGTAAGTACCCGGAGGAGGGCTTTCTCTGCAGTGGCGCCCAACCTATGGAATTCACTCCCCAAAGAGGTCCGCCTGGCACCATCGTTACTGGTTTTTCGGCGCCAGGTAAAGACCTTTTTATTTAAACATCATTTCAATTGTTAAAACATATGATCTGGCCTGGGCAACTTCTTCTTCCTTCTCTTTCTCCTCCTATATTTTTATTTTATACTGATAATTTTAATTTTGTATTTGTAAATCAATGTATTTTTTGTATTGTTATATTTAATGGTAATTTAATTTACTATGTACTATTGTATTTCAATGTATTTTATCATGTTGTAAGCCGCCCCGAGGTTTCGGCAAGGGGCGGCATAGAAATGCTATAATAATAATAATAATAATAATAATAATAATAATAATAATAATAATAATAAACACTGTGAATAAATAAGTGTAGATGTTGGCGTGCAACGGAAGGGTTGGAAGTGCCTTAGAATGCATTTCATGAACTATGTATGACCAAAGTTTGCCCTTACGTGACGACGTCTTTCAGAAACCCCACTGTGAAGTAGTGGTTGGCAATGTTCCCGGCGTTGAAGAGCAGCCGGCCGTCGTGGCTCCTCTTCTGCGCTGTGGCCAGCGAGATCTCACTGTACTCCACCACCTTGTAAACGCCGTCCACGCGGCACACCACGCCCACCGGCTCCGTGGGGTTGGTCTTTTCCACCACCTGAGGGGAGATAACGAGACATCTTGCTTCGTCACGGACTAATGCCCTTCACATGGCCTCACTTTTGGGGTCCAGATGCAGATGTGTCAAGTGTGATTCTTGGTTGGCTGGCATAACTACAAATGAAACGACAATGTAAACAGTGGAGCAGCAAGAAAGACCGTCTGTGGGAAGTCCGTTAAGTGCCCACCCCGAGACAAAAGTATAGCTGCTCAGTACAGCACACGCATCTTGTCAACGTGCACAGAAAGCAAGAGATCTCTTTTTCTGCAGAGTCAAAGCCAGGCTCGGACAGTGCTTTCCTATCCAAGGGACAGCTCTGGCACAGCGCCCCTCAGAAGGGGCCATCAGTACCTCAGGCCCTCTGGGCAGCTCGGTCCCCATGATGGACTACGCAGTCAACTCTGCCACTCCCCCTTGTCTCAGGATTACAGATATCAGCGCAAGGGCCTGCAAGTGTTTCTGTCACTTAAGAACATCAGCGGCAAGAAAAATAACTGGATTCACTACAAAACGAAAAGGCATAAAACGTAGCTTCCCTGTAGCCTGAGGTGCCTGATCCTGCCTCATCTTGGAAGCTAAGCGGGGTGAGGCCTCGTCAGAAGCTGGACGGGTGACTTGAGCATATGATTCGGTGATTATTATTGCAAACCGCCCGGAGAACTTTAGCTATGGGCAATACAGAGATGATCGGTCTTTAGCTTTGTTTCTCCACATGAGGGCATTAGGGCTCCTGCATAGGAGCTGCAGAAATTTAACTTGGTCCTTGCAGAAGAGAGTCACAGCTGTTATCCAAGGACTTGGGGTTTATTAAATCGAACTAAATCGGCATTAACGCTAAACCACTCCCTCCTACGCAGATGAACACTGTCCTTACAGGACAGTGAACTACAAAGCAGCTGCACATGCTGCTCATTTGTTTTTTCTGTAAAAACGTTTGTGAATTCTCCCTCGATTTTTCATTCTGCTCGACTTACATTAAGAGTTAAGCTGATCCAGTAAAGAGACCTAACCTACATGCCAAATCTAGTATTTTTTGAAGCCAGGGATGCGGAGAGTCCTTCTGACTTGTCCCGGACATTGAATGCCCGCCGTATGTGCACGTGCACATTCAGGAGTGCGGACAGGTGGGCCAGCCTTACGATCACAGCGCAGATGACTGGAAAAAGAGCTGGCCGAGGGCACCCGGCCAGTCCGGAGTGGAGCAGGATTGGGACCAGGGACTTGCCAACAAGCACGCTCTCTACCACAGGCACTTTCTCTTTTGTTTGTCCTCACCTCTGGGAATTACAGCGCACTAGTGTTCGAGACATAACCTCCAAGGTATTAAACAATCCCTTTTCCAAACACAATTAAGGCCTCCAAAAGAGGTGGGAAGTCTTGGCGAAGATCAGTTACCTTTGCTCCACAGTCTGCGCCCTTCAGCACGCAGAAACCAATGAACCGCGGGTCTGCCACTTTTACCAAAATATTGTCGACACAATAGACGTGGATGCTTCCAATGCCTCGCTGCTCCATGTCTTCCAAAATACGATGCGCTCCCAAAGCTCGGTAGAGACCTCCGTTGCCGTCTTCAATAGGAGGTGAGAAGAGAAACATTTCAGTGTTTCAGGTGCATCTAGTTTACCTACATCAGTTTCTGCTCACTTTTTCCTCATATGTAACATTTGTCAACAAAAATCCTGAAAAACAGGATCCTCAGAAAATCAGAAAGAAAATAAAAGAGCAGTGCCAAAAGCTTTGGTCTGCACCAAATACTTGACAGGATGAAAAACAAAACATGCACCTGCTAAAACAAAGGAAGAAGACAACCACTCTTGCTCTTGCAAGGGAGCTTTGTCAATTGTGTTACACAGCTGAGGCAACCGCTTTTCCTTCGCCGGCTTCCCCCGGGACTGAGGCCTTTGAACTGTGGTGCTGGCAGAGACTCCTGCGAGTCCCTTGGACTGTGAGGAGATCAAACCGGTCAGTCCTAGAGGAGATCAACCCTGACTGCTCTTTAGAAGGCCAGATACTGAAGATGAAACGCAAATACTTTGGCCACCTATTGAGAAGGAAGGACTCCCTGGAGAAGAACCTAATGCTGGGAACAATTGAAGGCAAAAGAAGAAGGGGGCGGCAGAGGATGAGGTGGCTGGATGGAGTCCCTGAAGCAGTTGGCGTGAGCTTAGGTGGACTCTGGGGGTGGTGGAGGACAGGAAGGCCTGGAGGAATGTTGTCCATGGGGTTGTGCTGGGTCGGACAGGACTTTGCAACTAACAACAGTTCAGAGTAGCTTTTTAGCTACACAAGATGAGGCCGCTGCCAGTTGGACAACCCAAATGGAACACACATTAATCACCGGGAAATCTGTCGGACAAGAGGGGTGAGACACAACACGGTCACTGAGATGCTGACTGCTGCTGAAAAGACTGACCGACACACCCGACACGTCCACTTCAGCTGGCCTAGAACTCTGCCTTGCTCTGTTCTCCTCCCCTAAAACCGGGATGCATCTTAGGAATCGTGGACACTGCTCAGATTGCATCATCGTGGCCCCTGCTTCCAGTGTCAGGGGGATGCTCCACTTATGAAACCAAGGCGAGGCCGCCCATGCACAACAGGGAGGCGGAATGCAGACATTTACAGAAAAGCAGCCCAGGCGTGCGTAGGGAAAAAATCTGCAGAAGTAAAAAAGGGCTGAAAACACGTCTGAGCATGTAAACAGCACACGCTTGCCTCACTCAGGTCTGTTGCCAAGACTCTGCTGCTAGGTCACTCCCGGAAGGCGTGGATCAGACTGACCAGCAAGCTGCCCGAAAGAGTCTCCAAGTTGCTCTTAGTCAGCCAGAGGGTCTCCCACCCTGGGCAGCTTTTGCTTTTCCTGGGAGGAATGCTGAAGGCTCCCGACAACACACAAGCAGCGCTCTTTCAGTGCTTCTGTCTGCTAACAGGCCCATCACTTTCTTTTCTGGCCCTTACGTTATGCACTGGACATTGGAAGTATTTAGAAAAGCAACGGCTGCTGAAAATTTGGAAGCAATAACACTTGGGAAATTAAACACTCTTTTTGAGCACCAACTTGAAACTACAGTTTATCAGATAAGCAATATGACATAAAATACAAAATAGAAGATAAGCTCTCACAGCCATTTAATTTATTGTAATGACTGATGTTATCCAAGTTTAGCTGTTAATAGGTAACATTTTGTATAAAGTTTGAGCGGTGATGCGATGTCTTATTTTTGAATACTTCCATTTTTACACTATTTTGTAGCATTTATCACTGTAATAACTTTGGAATAATAAAAAATGGATGACTTGCTCTGCGATGGAAACAAAGCCATTAGACGAGCAAAGGTCCAGAAGGAGAACATCAGCTGGTGTGCCCTTCTCCTCTATGCTTCAGCTTGGAGACCCTGCTGACTCCAGCTGGCAAAGATCATGCGCCCTTCTGCCCACGTCTCTTCACATTTAGGGTCTGAATAGTCGGCACAAGCCAGGTCTACCTGAGTCTGGTCTTACAAGTTCATGTACTTAAATCAGGGGGAAGGGGAAGGGAACGCGGTGGCAATACTGAGGGGTGCTTTTGTGGACTTTTGTACCTGGTGCCATGGCGACTTTGCCTTTTTCTTCCAGGAGGATTTTGCCGTCAAAGTCCAGAGCAGGCAGCATCCCCTGCTGAAAGAAGATCACATTCTCCTTCTTTAAGCCAAAGTACTTGTGCTTCAGGAAAAAATCCTTGGTCATTTCCATCGTCCTGCCACTTGTCATGATGTACCTGTCCAGCAAAAGAGAACAGGAGAGGCCAGGTTCACTAACCTCCTGTGGGACTTGCAGCCATGGCCTTGCCCCACTACTAGACACGCACAGAAGCCCACCCAACCCCCAGGGCTGCACGAGTCTTCAATACTTTGATCCAGGCCTTCAGTGGATCAGAGCTGCAGATGCCCCAGAGCTCCAGAGCTCAAAGATCAAAGTATTTTGGGCTAATGAAGAGGCAGAATTTGTTTCTCATTGCCGGCAAGAAATGGTGACCTTTAGGAAAGTAAAAGCACAAAGCAATTAAACAAAAGCAAATAGTCCATGCGGCCAGACCTGACCATGCAAGTTGACACCTTTAGGCCGGGACTCTTAGGCTGGGGGGCGGGGGTGCATCCTCTTTGTGAGACAGAAAGAGATTTAGGGGTTGGACCAGAAAGAGCAACCAAGGGCTAGAGTCCAGCAGCAGCTACAGGGCCACAGGTTTCTATTCCTGACCCGCACCATGCTTCAAGCGTAACCTTTAGTTCCAGCCTATCCACAGGTTCGTTTCTGGATCTTTGTATCACTAGTAAAGAACCTCCCGTTAAGTCTCCCATTTGCCTCCGCCTCTCACAAATACATCCTCTGGTCAGACAAGCAGAACAGTTTATAAGCAGGGCTCTGCAAATGGAAACCGTTCTACAGTTTTAGGCAATCCAAATCCTGTGCCAGATGCTGTGAGCTGCGCACATTGTGGAAGCTGGGCAAATCTGCATGAGTTCCAGCATTTGTTTATTCCTTCGCATGGTGTATCTGTGCTTTCCTGGTTGCAGGGAGGGGCTGGGAGCAATGAAATGCTATCCTCTGAGGATTGGGAATTTTCTTCATCCATCTCTTTGGCTTCGAAACTTACAGCAGGCAGTTCCCATGTATTTTGAGCACATCTGGGCAAACAAAATTACTGCTGAAATATCTCTGAACAGCAGGCAGCCACCGCCGAGACTCTGAAGAAGCCAAACTCTGGGCCAGTATCCTGTTCTGAACTCCTATGGGAACTCAGTATCCACACGAAACAGAAAGAGAAGACTACATATTTTTGAATACCGAATGACCATTCCAATATGCTTACCATGGAATAACACATTTGAGGTTATACTGGTTTTCGGCCAGCTGCTGCAGCTTCAAGATGCGCTCTGCCTGGATCTGGAAGAGGGTTTTGTGGGATGGCAGGCCTACATCATACATTCCTTTGGGGTATGAGACGCCCAGCCTTGTCCCTTGTCCACCAGCTAGAAGAAGAACAGCTACTTTGCTCTGAGATATCTGTCGGAGACCTAAACCAAGCACGAAAAACATTAAGTGGTTTGTCTGTCCCCAAGTCCAAACCATTCTGATGATCTTTTGTATTCCAGTGGTAGAGAAGAAAGCTTTCGAGTGACCTGTAAGCCACTACGCATGATGAAGGCAGCATCTCTGCATTCTCACAGAATGCTCCTGCCCTCACCATTCTCTTAAGGATGTCTTAAGCTTCGTGTATGACCAAGAACAAAGAAACATTCTTAATATCAGTCTAAACAAATGGTATTTTGTGTTGGAACGCAGGTTGGATTTGTTAGGCTCTAGTGTTAATACAGTGGAGAGTGCCTTCAGGCATGTAGAAACACACACATCGTTTGAAAGTGTTTTGCTAAGTAGCCATTACTGAAGTGGGCCAGCAGCTGTGCGCTGTATGGCCACCTTCAACTGCCTCTCTTCTTGACACCACAAAATGATAAGGCTCAGGTTCACCTTGGGACACGCTCTAAGCACTAAGCCATGGTTTGGCTTAATCTTGGTGCTGAATTTGGAGGACTCTGGCACAAAGCACTCACAGTACCTACACAGCAGTTACGGCTAACAGCAGCAGGGAAAAAAACCCCAGGATAATTCAAGTGACTTGAAATTAACTCAGCTTCCTTCAGGATATGCACCTTTCTCCCAGGAGGTCTTAAAAACAACAGTCATCTTCAGTATGATCACAATAAAGGGCACCTTGTGCTAGCAGGGCAAGCTGTGACTCAGCACCAAAACCACCACTGAATTACGCAGGCAGCCAGACAGAAATGGCACCTGATCTTACAAGTAACCTATTTTTCAGGTGCAATCAGCGTGCCTGCAGATGCGACCAGCAACAGATCCAAAGCCGGAGTTAATGCAAGCAACCCTAAACGAAACAGAGGGGTATGTGCAGCAAGACATGCATCCTTCGCACATCCGCCAATTTCTATCCAGGGTTCTCTGTATTCAGCATGTTCGGGGATTCATCCATTTCACACCCTCAACATTCATTTCACTTTACAAAATAACCCTATTTCTTATCCTCAAGATTGTAGCAGAAGTTTAAAAGCAGAACTAGGAACTATCTGATGAAAAATTCAGAAATAAGGGTCTAGTGGCTAAAGAGCGGGACTTTCAAAGTCTGCACTAATGCAAGTTTCTTGTCTGCCGGACTGACTCTCCCTGACCACTTTGCTAACACCATCCTGCCTCTAGAATCTTTCTTTTCACTTGGTACCTTGACTCAGGCCTGCAAACCTAAAACCATTCAAGCCCATTCGTGACTTGAAGTGTGGCTCAGAACAGATCTGCGTTTGCACAGGATTTTGTTTGTCCCTCATTTTAAGATAAGCTATTTCACTGATTCTGTCACTGGCCTCCTCCTGATATTTACCACAACCCAAAGAGCCTTGCGGTGGAGCAGCAGAGGAATGCAAGAAATGTTTTATTACTGGATACACACAGAGCCAGCCATGCCTTACGCTGCAGGAGCAGCTCTCAGGCCTTGAGCCTCGTATGGCCTCCACCTCACTTTGATCAAGTGCCCTTCCCTGCCGTGCTGGAAGGAGAGGCCTCTTTCCCCCCGAACATCATGGAAGACCCCGCTGTAGAAAGCGATCACTTCTGAACCTCTCCTATTAGTCTGTCTCTTCCCCATCAAGTTCAGAAGGAAAGAAAACTATCTGGAAGAGAAAACCTTGAATCAGGCAAAGGGTGTGAAAGGTGGGCTGGGAGAGAATGCACACAGAACAAAAGATGGGGGGAAGCATCCCTTTTTCTCAGGATCTGAGGGTACCTCCACAAAATTTGGGGAGCTTTGGGGAGACAAGAGGGCTCCCGTGCCAGCATTTGGTTTGGTCCTCAGCCTGCAACCATTTCCCCAAAATTCCCGACACCAAAACTGAATTAAAATGCATTGCACAATGTCCACTCACTTTAAATACAGTAAAACCTTGGATTGTGAGCATAATTCGTTCCGAAAACATGCTTGTAATCCAAAGCACTTGTATATCAAAGCAAATTTCCCCATAAGGTTCGATGGAAATAAGGTTAATCCGTTCTGTAACTATTTTTTTTAATCACAAAAATTTGAAGTGGGTGTGCTGGGGGTGGGGGGAGACGGGCACGATCATGGGCACGCTCGGGGGGGAGGCGGGCATGATCGCGGGCGCGCTCGGTAGCGGGGAGGCAATGCTGTCCTCACACCCACAGCGGGAGAGAGAAGAACCACGCTCAGTTGTGACAAGCACACTCTGCCTGCTGAGCGTCACAATACTCGTACTGCAAGACATCACTCGTTTATCAAGTTAAATTTTAGAAAAACTTTTCGCTTGTTGTGCAAAACACTTGCAGACCAAGTTACTCGCAAATCCAAGGTTTTACTGTACTGGCAACAACTGTAGCCATTTTAACAGTTTCCAATTTTAAGAAACTGCCAAAAATGCTAGATGACTTGTAAGGCCTACACCCAAATTGAGCAACCTCGCCCAAACAGGGCAAGGCAGATGGAAACAAAGTCATGTATCCTTCACATGCTTCTGAATTAAAGGTTGTACAAGCATATAAAAGCCCAAAAACACAGGGCAGAAGGTCTGCATTCCAGAGCTGAACCTCCACCTTTATCACAAGAGTGTTCAAGAGCAGGTGTATAATAAACATGCAACTGAGTGCTTTGCGGCCATTCTAGGATGAAACGCATCCTGGATGACTTCCTGCTTGGAAACTTGCCCAAAACTGTTCAATCATTTGGTTTCAAGTGAACCTGCACGAGAACAAGGAAGCCAGGCAGAAGAACTGCTTTGGCACAGCCAGACAGCACCAAGATGGATTATTCAGAAGCAGTGTTGGCCTGAGGATTTGAGCCAGTATCCAAAGGCTGGGCCACTGGGTTTTCAAAGGCTACTAGGCACCAATCAGCCGAAAAGCCCAATGAAAGAGGCTATGGCAATGCAGGCTTTGCGGGGCCCAAGGCTCAGTCCCTGCCATGGAGGGGCTGCAGGGCAAGGTCACTGCTTGTGAGGCCAACCAGCCGGGTCCCCTCGAGACTGAGCCTAGACTGAGGGTCTACCAAACGGGCTCAAGCTGCTTGTCGCAGGAGGGGCTGCTTCTTCCGCTCTGCCTGTAATTGCTGTGGGCAGCTGGTGCACCAGTTCCCCGACCCCTTAGCGGAGGGCAGGCAGGACATCAGCACAAAGTAATTATAAAAATAATGCCCGCGTGTTCATGCTGACGGGTCATATTGTGTTCAAACCTTGTAAAGTCACGACAATCGCTTCCTGTGTCAACAGTTCTATGCTAGCCAGTGATTCAAGGAGAGAGATGCTCCACAAATAGGTGGGGATAAAGTACCACAAATAAAATGCTACTGCGCCTAACGTCTATTAAACAGTCTTATCATTGCCTAAAATGAAAAATAGGCACAACTGCTGAAAATAAATTAGGGATGGGTGTCATGAATCCTTTACGGATTGGTAGAAGATATATTAAGCTACTGAAACTTATTTCCACCAAAACTCATACAAGAACCAGGTTAGGAGAGGAATTGGTTGAGCTTCCCCTCCGCCTCAGCTGAATAAGAGCATTCGCGTGCTGCTAATACAAGAGCAGAAAGCCAATTCTGTTTCTCTCCATTTGCACAGATGGTATCACTGCAAGGAGCACATCTGTTTCCACAGTACAGTCCTGTGTGTGAAACGGGATCCCTTTAGTACCTTCCTCCTCCCAGATGGGCAGCTGGGTCCGGTCCCGGGTCGCACTGCCCAGCACCTCCCGTGGCACAGGCTCCACCTTTGCATCCATGTACTCCTGCCCTGGTAAATGGCCACTGTCCACCATCGCCTTCTGGAAGGCCTGGCCCAGCTCCTCCAGGTCCATGGCGTCCAACTCCTTGTAGAGCTCCTGCTGCTCCGGCTCACTCAGCTCCTCCCAGAACTGAAGCAGGTGGCTCTGCCCAGCCTCAGCCAGGCGGCGCCGGAGCGCACAGACATCCTGCTCCCTGTCCATCGCCTGGGGAGGGACAGAAGTTTCATGAGACTCCCCGAGTAACAAGCATGATTCAACCAATCCAACAGTTTGTGAACCGCCCCGAGGCTTCGGCGAATGGGGTGGCATAGAAGCCCCCTAAACAAATAAATAAAGTAAACCAGGCAGCACAGGCCATTCTCCCTCCCTCTACCCAAGCACTGAATAAGGGTTCCCACTTCTGGATGCACATGGCTGACCGAGCTGGGAAGAGCAGTCATGCAGAAACCCCATTCATCCCAATTCAGCGAGAGAAAGCCCTGTTCAAGACACCTGCACGCCACAGGCCTGCCAAGAGCAGGCACTTGGACTCGGGCTCAGCATGTGCGTGTGCACTCTGTCCCAAGCAAAGCTGGCCCGAGGCATGTTTGTGAGTCCGTGGCAAACCTCCAAGGGTGCACACACATTAGTCCTTCAGAGTTGAGACTTGAGTTCTCCGTTGAGCAGGGGGCGGGACCCGATGGCCTTCCAAGCCCCTTCCAACTGTTCGAGTCTATGATCACCTTCCCCTCTTCAAGTTACACAAAATTCTGCAAAGCTGCTTACTTCAACAAAGCATACCACCTCCTTTCACTCTTCCTGCACATTTGCAAGGGCAAATGGCAAAGCAGAGCGCCAGGGTGGGGAAGGGGGGACGACTCCCTCCAGCTGCTCTATGCTAATCTGTGAAATAACAGCCATGTTTCATGTGCATCCTTAGGAAACACCCCAGAAATAAATTGTCTAGTTGGCTTTAAAAACGTATATACACAGGCACACACAGGCTAGCTCTTCATATCTTGTGACAACCTTCTAGCCTGAAGCCATGAATATTTCCTGCAGAGTCAACCTGTACTGTGCTCTGCCCAGTAAAATCAGCTCCAAACAGCTGCACACAGAAAGTGCAATTTAGCCACCTACCCATATCACACTTCCTCCTAAGTTGGACATATCACATGCACCATAAAATCAAGTATCATTATGTACTTAGCACGAAAGCATACCTTTTGCTTATACCACAAGGAGAAGTACCATGAAATACCTTAAAGGGAAAAGTAAGCAGCACCGCATTATTACTAAGGACGACAGACACGTTGATTAAAAACACACAGACTTTAAATGGCATCCCACAATTTCACACAATGCCTGAGGGAGCCGGTGTGGTGGACCCAGGGTTATGCTGGCCAGTCCCTCCCCCTCAGCCTCACCTACCTCGCAAGGTTGTTGTTGGGAGGGTGGAATGGCAAGGAGAGTAATTAGGGAAGCTGCCTTGGGTTCATCAGGAGGGGAAGAAGGTGCTATACTAAGGGAAATGCCCACAAGCGGAGAGCACAAAATGCAGGAAAGGGGCTGGAGGGCTCCAGAGCGTCACTCCGGGGGAGGCCGGGCCTGGTGATTCGAGCGCCCGGCCGCGGGCCTGGAGGCCCCCCTCGCCGGGCCCCTCCCTACCTCACAGGGGTGTTGTTCTGGAGGAAGCACGGAGCGGGGAGGGCCGCGGAGGTCGCCTCGGGGTCCCCCTCCAGAGGCAGCGGGCAGGGAGGAAATGCGGCCCATTAATAACGGCGAGAATAATAAATGCGATAACTGAAATCCAGTCCTCCCGGTGACCCGCTCCCGAAGGCCGCCCAGCCCCAGCCCCGCGCCCCCGAAGCGCCAGCCCCGCTCACCGCCGCCGCGCCGGCCAACCACCCCTGCCGCCTGCGCGCGCCCCCGCCCGGCTATCAAGAACGCCTCAGGCCCCGCCCCACTGGCGGCAGCCAACAGCCGCGAGGGAGGCGGGGCCCGGCGCCCAGGAGACACCTTCCCTGGGCGTGGGCGGGGCCAGCGCGGGGAGGCTGCCACGTCACGCCCGAGTGCCGCGGCCACGCAGCGCCACTGGCCGGGCGCCAGGGAGCGGCGGGCGGAGGGAGGTCGGCGCCTGCGTCGCGGCGGGAGCGGAAGTGGCGCGAGGCGGGCGGCTCGGTTGCCAGGGCGACGCGGCGAGTCGCGGCCCGGTCACCGGAGGGGGCGCCGGGGGACTCCCGCTGCGGCTGACGCGGCTCGGGCTGGCCGCCGCGCTCCCCCGAGGGGCCCTTCTCAGGGCGCCCCGGGGACTCGCACTGCAGCCTTCCCGCCCCGTCGCGAAAGACCGACAGCCGCCTGCTCCTTCGAGCAGGCCGCGCGGTGGGAAGATCCTTTCCCCTCGCCGAGAGGGCGGGTGGATCAAGGGCCAGGCGGGAGAACGAGGAGCACACCTTCCTGCTGCTCTGGCGAGAAGCCGGGCCGTGAATTGGGGTGACACGGGCCCCCAACCCTAACCCCTACCCGAACCGGGGGCAGCGAGGGAAGAGACCCGAGGCGGAGCAGAGGATCGGGAGCAGCCGGAGGAAAGTGGCGGAGGGGAGGGCGAGTGGGGAAGCGCTCTCCGGCTGCACCCCGCTGCAAAGCGGGCCCGATGAGAAGAGGCTCCGTGACGTGCCGGGGAAGGAGAAAGCGAGTGCAAGGGCCGGAGCAGCCGCGTTGCCAGCTATGGGACACCAATTCTCCTGCGGAGAGACCTGCCACCCGCTGCTGGAGGTTGGGGCTGGCGGAGGCAGGGCAGCAGCGGATGTTCCCACAGAGGCCACAGCGCTAGGCTTCGAAGCCCGAGAGACGTCGTGTGTCGTCGAAACCCACCAGGCGCATGTGGAACCTGTCAGGTTCTTCCTGCCCCGTGTTCTCTTGCCAAACTCTAATCACCCCTTAAGGCATATTTTCAGTGTTTATGCAAATTTGCTTTTACCTTCCAGAGGAATACATTCAGTCACAGCCTATCCAGTGCTTAGCAACAGTAATAGTTCTTGTGGCACAGCCAGCCTCAAACCATAAAGTTTAATTACAGATAACCAGGATTAGAGGTAACAGAATGATGTTCTGTACGTGTGCAAAGACAGTTTTCTTTTTAACTTCATGTGTTTTCTATTTGATTCTTTGCATTATGTGCCTTGCTACCTTAAAAGGAGAATTTATAGGCAGTATTTTCACCCATATTTTCTATCGCATCCAAGGGGCAAGATGCGAATTCTTCTATTTATTACATGTTTGTATAATATGTTGCAATTGCTTTGCATAACCATGATGTTGTCATGGAATGAGACAGAGCTAACATAGGCTTTAGGAAGAAAAACATTACTGAGCCTGTCTCGCCAACCTCCAGCCAGTTGGAAAGCTGCTTAATCTGCTTGTCAGCAAGGATTTACAACGTCAGTGTGGTCAATGATTCATTTTTAAGGGTGAAACAAAAATAAATTTCATAAATTTCACCATGGTTTGTCAAACCTTGAGCTTTTTTGTTATGGATACCACAAAACAATCTGTGTCAGCTTTGCTGATAAATCAAAGCATTCTTGTCTTCTGTGGCTTGGATTGACATCGTCACCTACCCAGAGGACAAATTGCACCATTAGGTTCTGACTTTCTGCCTGCCCTTTTCTGAAGGAATGACTTGAGAACAGATACTTCAGGATTTTCTGCAACATTAAGAATTTTAGGGCTTGGCCCTGGAATATGTGAAACTCTGGTGATCTTTAAGACTCCAAGAAGTGTGTGATAGGTCTTTCTCCCCACCTAGTAACCATCCAAAGCCTCATCTTGGAAGAGACTCCTCTGGGCAAGCCCAATTCCTCATGTCATCCTTGAGATAAAGATGTTTACACCCTCTTTTGCCAGAGTAGTTAATTGGGATAGCTGGGCCTTCACTCTATCTTCCCTCCCTCGTCCTCCAGAAAGGTGAGGGAAGCTTGTGTTTACTGATTATAGGAACTGGGGCCCCTTCTTACAACATAGAGCATTCCAAGATGGAGATTTCTGATTCTTAATATGACCGGGAAGAGGAGGGAGGGTCAGAGGGCTCAGCTGAATGGCCAAGGTCAACAAGCTGTGAGATAAGCCAGGCAATGAGCAAAAATCAGACTGCCTCTGATGCAGGAGATGACTACCTGGAACAGGGAGGGTCAGAGGGGAGGGCTGTGCCTTTATCAGCACAGTGGTTCAACCTCAGGTCAAGCAAGACTGGTCCACAATGCTGTGGGTGGAACCAGTTTCATTTGGAGGGGAATTTGGATTAGAATTACCTCCTGGAGTGAGCAGGAACCACTTTCTAGTTCGAGGGTCTCTTTGGTGGAAACTATCCTTTGCCAAAATAAACAGCTGGGGATGGAGGTGTAAGAGAATCCAGAAAAGGACAGTTTCGACCTTATCCCCCATGACCACTTGTGGTGGTGCCTGGGACACATTTCTGAAGTGTCACACATACTTTGCTCTGCTCTAAAGGAACCCTGAAGATTCCAACAAACGACTCAGATTCTACATCGAGCATTAGATCATACTGTGACTCTCCCAGAGGGGGAGGGCAGACCCACTGGAAGTGCCCAACCCTCTGTGAGCCAGGCTGGGAATTTCTGCAGGCCAGAGCTCCCCGCTGTCTTGAAGGATCCCCACACTGAATCTTCTTGGGAAGCTGGAAGGCAGAAAAGACCTTTGAAATGGTTTCTTGCCATCTAGACCCATCACTGCTTATCAGAAAGCCACAATGCCGATTGCTACACCTAACACCGTGAGGTCTGCTGCACCCATAGTTTTATTAGGTGGCCTAATTTGGATATTCTCATTATTAACAGAATTGTGTTAAGACCAAGATCTGTCATCTCTGGGAAGAAGAGAGTGCTTGCCCCTGTCTTACACAAGACTCCAGAAGGATTTTTTTTTTAAGCCAGCATGTGCCATAAAATCCAGATATCTATGGCTGGAGGACACAGAAGACCAACTCACAGGTGGCTCTAGAAATTCCAATGAGGTTCAAATCACTAACTGTCATTCCAGGATGGAAACTTTGCAGTCGTTGGGCTGCACCCAACGTTAAAGCAACTTAGAGAAGACCCACTGAAATAAATGGGACTTGAATCCCAGTATTTCAATGCGTCTGGTCCTAGGTAGGACTAAGCAGTTACAATCTAATTTCTCATGCACTAATACAGAGTGACATTAAGATTCAGAACCTTGAATGGGATTGTTCCTTACGGTCCCATTTAACTGATGTTTCAGTGGCTGCAGTACCTGTTGCTCTGAAGCTCAGGTGTAGACTCACCAGTGTGGTCTGATGCCATCCTGAAGACCCCTTCAGAGCAACAGATACTGCAGGGGGAACCTTTACCTTTATTCTCTTATTCAAACCCCTCAGGGAGGGACGAGAGATTTTTTTTTCTTGGCAACCTCAATTACAAGCTTTACATCTTGCCCAAAATCCAGAAATAATTGTTATGGGAAGCTGGGCAGCCCATCCCCTGCCTGAAGCTATGAGGATGTGCTTGCCAGAGGAGACAGCTGCCTCACCTGGCGCCTAGGACAGCACAAGCCTCAAATCTGTGCAAAGCAGGAAAACTTGCAGGTTACACAACCCTGAGCTCTCCGAGATATCTTCCTCCTCAGCCACGCTCTGTATTTCACAATTCATCCACCCTTGCAGTGGAATTACACAACCAGCCATGTCCCAGGAGACCAAGCAGCAGCTAAAACACCGAATCTGGCCACATGGTGAGGACACAGACCAAGGCAAAGCACAGCCTCATTTTTTTTACTATTTTCTAAGTGTCCTTAAGCAGAGGAGTGTTTAAAGTGTGGTGGGAAGGCCCTACTTCTGATAAAATTCAAGCCTCTTTGTAGACACACAGCCCGCTATTAGCACCTTTCGGAGCTGGCTCAATACTGGGATCTCTTTCTATGAACTTCCTATGAATTATGGCCTACCCCGTAAGTCAGTGCTCCAATTTTAGAAGTACCATGGTCCACCTTGCGTATGTCTGGGCGTTAAGAAAAACCCTAAGTGCCCGTAGGACGCTTTCTCACCGGGTAGCGCTCAATACCAATCGGGAAACTCCTTTATTTAAAGCATGGGGGCCTTCTTTGCTGGCGACTAGTGCGGGACGGCACTGAATGGCAGGGACCGTACGGTCACAGCGATTTCCAGGCAAGCACAGAGCCAGGAGCTACTTCTGAGCACCCTTCACTGCCAGCCCCCCCTCAGCACCTCAGTCTCCCGTGTGAAAGGTGTCTTGAACAGGGACCATCGAGGCATTTTCTAGCCAACTCTTCGAAGAAAAGGCCCATCACTTCGCAGTGCAAGAGGCGTGACTGTGCAGGAGGTGCAGAGCCCTCTCTTCTGACCGCAAAGGGCTGTTGCTGCTTCTCTCCTCTCCACAAGGTGGGATAATCTGTGGAAAGGGAGAATTCCTTTCTCATACCAGTTTCACTGCCTCCAACAGATCTGCTAGGATGTAAGTGCTATCCCAAGCTTGGCCGGGTTGACGTAGCGCCTTCTCCAAAACTTGAGCTCTCTGCCGCAGTTCCACAGGAAGCAGCTTGGTTTGGGTCTGTTGCTGGCAGAAAAGGATCTCATTGACTTCACCTTCAATCCTTCGGATGTAGAGCAAAGGGAACGTCTCCTTAAGGCTACCCAGGACAGCCTCTCGAAGCTGGGGATCCCGACACACCAAATTAAGAATAAAAATGCCTGCAGAGAGCAAAGTCAGTGAGGTTACATCACAGGCCATCCTCCGCCACCGAGAGCCCCTCCATGACCCTCTGCAATCTCGAGAATCCTTTGCAAAAATTACTCCTGCCCTTCCCTGCCCATTTCCTAGATCACACGGGCTAGGAAACAAGCTGCTTTTGCAGCTCCAAGCACGCTTGTATGCCTGCAGTCATTTACATCAGACCACCCCAAATCACACAAGCCGGCGAGCGAGGAGACGGAGCCCCGGTGAGGGCAGGTGCTTGTCCAAAAGTGCGCAGGCACATCCAGCAGTGGCCCTCACCGTCCGGTTTCAGGAGGGACTTCACTTTCTGCAGGAAGGCCTTCTCCACAAAGGCGGGGGGCGGGCAGCTCATTCCCAAGGCAGAATCCTTGCTATCCACATCAAACATGACGGCATCGTAAGAGGAGGAGCCTGGGAAAATGGAGAGGAAAAACAGGAACGTGTTCTGTGAGCACCACCAAAATGGATGAGGCAGTGGGGCTGTGTAAGGGGTCCGAGGGCAGTGTGGCCTCCCCGCCCCACGTGTGCCGTATCCAAGTCCGTGCTAGCCACACTTCTGCTTCGCATCCCATCCCACACAGAGGCAGCAAATTGCGGCCAGGTGTTTGGAAAGAACCAGCATCCACCCCAAGGCCCAAGCAAGTCACTTCACACTTTCTGCCCGGTAGGGCTGGTCCTAAAGAGGAACGGATCCACTGCAGCTCTTCCCTCGCCAGTACCATTCCTCCCGTGGCCACAGCAGCGACTCACTGGCAGGCGGGGCTTGAGGAAGCAAAAGCAGATCCTACAGATGGACGGCTGGTCATCTTTCCTCCTCCTGCTATCTAGCCTTTCCCACCTAGGACCAACGCCCCATTTTCCCCTTGAGCGAACCATCTGCCTGCAATTACTAGCACAGCCTGCTGAACTGCAAAAAGTTGCCCCATCAAACCGAGCACAATCCTCAACTCAGAGTTTCGCAGGTTTTAAAACCAAGATGACTATATTCACTTTGCAGGCAACGGGAAATGAGTCTCCGACAGAAAACGCCCTCCAGTGGCAGGCAGCGCCAAGTCGGTTTCTTAAGGGAAGGAACCCTAGCTGCCAGACTAGCTTGCCAGGACAGGGATGCGCAGTTCACGTCTGGCCCGTTCACTCCCAAAACAGGGAATCTTAATGGAGGAATGGAGCTCATCCCTTCCCACCTGCCTGGGACCCGTTTCCAAGCCCTCCCGACCATCTGCTTGCAATGGCAGGTGTCCCAGCCTAGAAGAAGAGCACCTGGGCAACGCATCGTGGCGAGGCGCTGTGGGACGGAGTTCTGCTCCACCCACCCTACCTCCCTTTTGCCGAGCCTTTCTCCATCTCCCCCATCCCCTTTCCCAGCGTATTTTTCTTTCTGGATTTGGAGTCTAGCTGAGAGCCCACAAAAATCATGAACGAAGTAGCATTTCCAACCTCCTCACCTTAATTTACTCCCCATACGACCCTATCTACTGACAAGCTGTGGTCTAAAACAGGTTCACAACAATCATTCCAGTCTTGAGGATGTCAGGATGTACCTGCTGGATCAGCACACGTGTCCAACCGGTCCGACATGCTCTTTCCAAGCATGGGCAGAATTCCACTCGCAAACAGGGAATGCCGCATCTGACCCATTTCTCTTGTTCTGAGTGGCTATTTCAAAGGTAGGCCACCTCTGAACGACCAGGGCCTTCTGGAAAGTGTGGCGGACAGTCCTCGACAGACACCTTCCTTTTTTAAGCTACACAAGGTAGTGGCTATTGCTGTGGCTTGCAGGCACGGATCTCGTTAAGCTGAAATATGCTAACAAACACCGGGGCTTCTTTTTATACTTTCCCCACAAGCTGGAAACACACCAACAGGTTTTCAAAAGTGGGTCTCAAGGCCTCCTACTTGAAACGGCATTCTGACACAATCTGAAACAGCAACAGCTGGATGCTCTGGTACTGCCTACAAAAACCAGTTTCTGCAGCGGTTTCACGGCATTACAGGTCAGAGCTTTATATTTATGTATTTATTATTTATTAAAACATTTTAATTTAATTTAATTTATATGAGAGACTTCCCCTTGCTCCATTTTCACTTGCTCTATTCTTCCTTCCATTGTGCCAAGCAAATAAAAAAAAGGAGTGGGGATGCATGGGAGAAAGCGGAGGTGCTGGGACTCCACGGAATCACTCGGAAGACACGAGTTCGAATGGCACTCTAAGGCTCGGGCGCCCGAGTGCTTTGGAACGCCCACGAGTGCGCTTACCCCCAAGGACGGGCCGAGGGGTCATTACCTTCGGCCGCAAGGTTGGCCACATAAGCCAGCCCGTCCGCGATGTGAACGCGGAGCCTGTCTTCTGGCAGAAAGCCAAACCAGCGCCGAGCCACTTCCAGCATGGCGGGATCGAGCTCCACCACGTCGACGCGGCACTGCGGGAGGTAGTCGTGCAGGAAGAGGGGCAGGCTGCCGCCACCCAGGCCGATCACCAGCACACGGATCGGGGCCGCTGCAATCAGCACACAAGCAGTAAGGACTCGACACCCAGCCGTGGAAAGACGCGCCTTCCCCGCCCCTAGGGAGCGCCAGACGGGCCCTGCCAGTCACCCTTCTCAGTGCGCCCAAAAACGCCGCATCCCTGCAGACCTCTTGGGGCCGCATGACAAATGGCCAAGTGTGCTGGGGACACACCCGACCCACGCGTTTCCCACCCTGGGGAGGCCACAGCTAGGCAGGAAAAGGCAGCGTGGACTGCTCGACACGCTGCCACCCCGCCTTGGTTCCCAGGGCCAGCACACATGCCCTTCCTTTGCCCTGCCTCACCCCCGAGGAAAATCCCCCCAGAAACCACACTCCCCCAGGAGGACGGCTGTCACCGGCGCACCATCCACAGGCTGGCATCGTAGCCACAAACCCGGGACGGCACTGGCTTTCAAGAGCTTAGCAGCCTGGCTCGGAGCATGCTCCAAGCAGACGCCTCCTAGGAAACGCAAGCGCAGCCTTGGGATGGAGCAGCCACGGGATCCACACAGCTCCTGTTCTGAACAGCCTCCCTGGAAGAGGCGGCACAGAAAGGGAACACGGGCTGCTACCTATTGCACCGCACAGCCTTTTGCCCCCAAGGCAAGCAGCTCCCCGCCTCACTCACAGCTGCCGATCTCCGCAAGCGGACGGCCGGAGGAAAACACGCCCCGCCCCACGCTTCAGACATCTCTACGGTCCCACAGGGTGTGAGCTCCAGCACCCACGGCAGGGATGGGAAACGTTGCGCAGAGGCGCCGATTTCTGGCCTCGTGTGCCAGCACCAGGGTGCCTGCGGGCCTCTGCTCAGGCCCTCCCACGGCCCAGAGCACGACAGGCTCCCGGGCCCCTCCCACACGCCCCTGCAGGCAGGCGCCAGGCAGCCCGGAGCAGCTTGCTCTCGCTACCCACCGGGGAGGCACGCGGGACCTTCCAGCAGGCACAGGCCTGCCACCATGGCTCTGTGGTGGGCGCAGCACAGGTAGCTTGTGTCAACGGACTGGCTGCCCGGCGCGGCGGTTGGGGGGGCACGATCGGTGGCGGCGCCTTTCTTCTTCTTCTTGTGCTTCTTGTTCCCTGTCCGGCATTAAGTGACAGCTGCTTAGAGAGGCAAATGGACTACCATGCACGAGAAGCGGAGGAAGGAGTATGAGAACGGAGCGTGGGGGACACCCGACAACGCAGCAGCCGGTTGCCCCCCGCCCCCCCCCGGAGTTCACACTCGGCATCAGCATCAAGTTGCTCCAGGGGCCCTGAAGAAATGGCTTCCCATGAACGCAAGCTCTGATCGCTGGGGCAACAACCCCCTTCTAGCCCGTACTGAGCAAGGGGGGTTGGAGGGGCGACTGAGGCCCAGAGAAGCAAACGGGGGGGGGGGGGCGTGTGGAGACCCCTCTGCAGGTCCTAGAAAGACAGAAGGAGCGCAAGCCCCACAGTGCCCACACTCGCCGCCCGTCCGCTCCTTGCGCTGCCGGCCGCCCCCATTCCGCAGGGTAGTGCCCGCAGTGGCCTGGCCGAGCACCGCTCTCTCTCGGCCTGTGAGCTCACCCCCCGTGTTTCGTCTCTGGCACACCTCTTGTTTCACTGTTGTGGGACGCCTTGGAGGAAAGCCTTGCTTCCGACTGGACCACATTCCTGTTGCTGAGGAAGATGAGGCGGCGGAAATAGCGGGTGTCCTCTCCTTTCACATCCTCGATCACATACTCCCCGCTAAAGGGACTCGTATCACGGTGCTGGATAGTGCGGATTCCGATGTCTCCGCCCACGGACAGAAAGGGCACCTGCCGGGGAAGGCACCTTGAAGCTGCTGCCACCCCACGGGCAGCACCGGCAAAACGCGCAGAATTCAGCGTCGACACAGGCAGCTGCCTCCTAGCAAGGGAGCCCATCTCCCCCAACATCTATGCTGGCCACTCAAACCAGGGTCCTGGGTTACTGTGTTTTTTCCGGCCATGCTAAGGCAAGATGGCAGGCACTGAACCTGTGTGGGCAGATCACCACCCCTCATGCAAACAGGAGGCAATATCCATCTGGCCTCACTCAAGTACATTTAGTGCCTCTCGCTTTAAAGGCCCATCCATGCACGGTGGCAGACCAACCACGGGCTGGAACTCAAGAGGGCTTCTGGCAATGCTGCCGCTCTAACAGTCTTGTGCTGCCTCAGGGAGCCAAGCTCGAGGCTGCAATCCTCGGCCCACCTAATAGCAGTGGCTGGGGACCCCCATGCCATTTCCCACCCTGTGAACACATTTAGTGCAAACCTACATGCCTTAATGGGCATATTTTCTGCAACTGGCGGGGATGAGAATCTCTTAAGCTCATGGCTTTGAAACAGAATCATGCAAACAAGCAAAAATATGCTTTTTACAGCACAAACTCTCTGACTGGACCCTGATCCTATCTTGAAAAAGAGCAGAAGATGCATTTTTGGAATGCAGAAGAGCGATTATGTTCTGTTCTAAAGGGCACAGCAAGGATACCTAGCAAGGTCGCCTACCTGCTGCTGGGCTGGAAGGCCAGGTGGGGCCAGCTCCATCACCTTTTCCGAGAGCTCCGCCTGGATGGCTCCCATTCCCTCGTAGTGCTGGTCTCTGTGCAAGGCCACCGTCGCCAGGCGCCAGAACCCGGCACTTGCTGCCAGCTGCTTCCGCCCCTCCTCTGTCCCAAAGAGCCATTCCGTTTCTCTGCCCTGTGGAACTGGGAAGAAGCAACACCGCAAACATGGACTGTGGGGAAGCAGCCGCCCTTGCCTGGTAAAAATGTCAGCCAGCACCAAAATCCTCAGCTGGACTAGGACACAGATTACCACTCTTACTTCTAATCTTGGGATGTTAAATGAATAAATTTCACACCGCCCCTTTGGGGTTCTCTGCTTACATGGAATAAGGAACAAAAGCACCCCCCCTCCTTACAAGAGAAGCAGAAGAATTCAGAAACATAACTTGTAAAAGCAAAGGACTATAAAACTGTGATGGTTCCTCTCCACCCAGTGGTTGAGGAGAGCAAGGGGAATGGATTCATTTGTAAAAATGCAGCCTGTTCTCATTTATTTTTTTCAGGGCTTCCCCCCACACCGGTCCCACTCTGTCTGTGACGATTGTTCTACTCTCTTTTGGAGGAAAGAGGGTGAATGGATACTGTGGAGAGGGGAAAACCCAGAGCCACAATTCAGGAGCCGTTACTTGCCCATTCAGCAAAAGCAACGGCTGGGCAGATAACCTTTTGCTGCCCAGTAATATATCGCTTTGCTGTACATTTGAAGAAGTCTCTGCTTCCGAGATATTACTAGCCATGTTGAGACACTCTTCTGCTATTTGGATTTAATTTGCGAGTTGGCTCAGTCAAGAAGAATACAAACTCACTGATGAAGACGGCAAACTGGTTGTCACGAGACACTTTCACAGCGAGGTGATGCACTACGTGCACAGTGTAGCGTGCGCGGCCAGAGTCCTTGCTGCAGAGATCCAGAGAGACGCTCCCTGCACCGGGGTTCTTGCTGAGCTGACTCCGAAACAGAGAGTACTGCTGCCTCTCTTGCACGGCCTCAATTAGCTGCTCGGCGCTCTTGAACCGGACAGGCTTGTCCTGCGCTTCAGCACACAGCTCCAGGATGCAAGAAGCTGAGCCTGAAACTTGCCTGATCTTTGTCATGACATAGACAAAGACGGGCAGGGCAAATTCTCCCTCTGAAGGGCCTGCTTCGTTGCCAAAGACTTGGTGTATTCGAACCATCCAGCCTTCCTGGGAGAAATAGTCCACAGCGGCCTTCAATACATGCGCTTGGGCCAAGGAGACACATAGGTAGCGACCCCCAAACTGCAGGACACGGCCAATTTCGGCGAACATTGCTTCTGCCCGTCTCAAAGCGGTCTCTTCCCCTTCAGTCAGGAGGGCGTCTAGAGTGCCTTTGTCCAGCACCACCTGGAAGCGCCCATCGGGGAACTCCATCCGCAGCACATCCATGACCACGTAAACCATCTTGGGCCTCAGGCGCGCACTGCGTTCCTGCATCTGCTTGACAGCCACCTCACTAATGTCCACGTTGGTGATGTCTTGATACCCCTCATCATAGAGCTGCTCACTCAGCTCCGAGTTGCCACAGCCAACAACAAGGATCTAGCAGGAAAGCACAGAAGGAACGTCACACACGCGGTGAGCAAACCGGAGCGGCTGCATAACACTGATGCTCCCAGAGGATTTGGGCAAAAGGCTCCAGCCACTGCTCGGAAGATGGAGCATGGGAAGGGGAGCGGACCAGGACTGCTGTTGCTACATCGTCTGCCCTCCAAAATGAAGCACCCTCAAAGTAGATTTGTAGCAGCTGGTACTCGACCCACCGGAAGTTCTTCTATATGAAGGCTGAAACAAACCACTAACAAGGAAGGATCACACCTCATTTTAATTCATGGAAGGGTGGCGAGATGGGGATGTGAACTTCAGGCACCTTAACTTCTCATTTCACCTGGCCCATGTAAAAGCCACATTTTTAATCTGCAAGCTGTTAAGGGGAGTTGGGGGCAGGGGGCCGGGCGTCTCTCTCGTGCCTGGACTACACAGGCAGTGCAGTGGCGAAAAAGCGGTGGAGCCGATTACTGCATTTCAGACTTCGAACAACAAATAGTGATGGCAAAGCTTCCTAGTGCAAAAAGGCTGCTCACAAAAACTGGCCTAGACCAGGTTTACTTAACTATCATTCTCACTGACCTCCATGAGGGCTACTTCTGAGTAGTTATTACAGGGTTACTTTTAATTATTTTATTTCGAGAGCTATCTATACCACTTTTATTGTTGCTTGTTGTCATTGCTAGTCACGAAGTTGTGTCCGACCCATCGCGACCCCATGGGCAACACTCCTCCAGGCCCTCCTGTCCTCCGCCATCCCCGGAGTCCACTCAAGCCCAGATCCACCACCCCAGTGACTCCGTCCAGCCACCTCGACCTCTGCCGCCCCCTCCTCCTTCTTGCTTTTATTAGCAAAGATGAAAAACAACTCCCGATGCAGTTTATGTTAGGAGACCATGATAAAACACAGAACAATGATAAAAATCGCTTCTTGGTGAAAATAACGGGAAGCAGCACTGGGAAAGCCTGGCCAAACGAGGGCGTCTTCAACCGTGGACAGAAGGAAGCCCCCCGACCTCAGCGCCGAGACCGCTGCAGTGGCGGCTACGGGGCCCGCCCGCCCGGGCGCCGCCAGAACAGCGGCCACCCTGCGCCCACGGGCAGCCCGCCGTCCCGGAGCAGCGTCCTCCCCGCCACGGTCCAAGGGGCTGGGGCAGGCCTGGGGGGCGACCAGCCGCCCCCACCGGGGAGCGAGCCCCGCGGGGAGCGCGGAGCAGCAGAGGCGCTCGGGGCCGCCCCGGGACCGCACCTGCTCCAGCCGCAGCCCCCGCGCCCGCCGCAGCTGCGCCCCAACAAGCCTCAGGGAGAGCGCGGGCGCCGGGCGCCGCTCACCTCCAGGGGTCTGGCCAGGGGAGCGGCCCCGGCCCGACCTCGCAGGGGCGCTGTGCCGCGCCGCCCGCCCCCCCCCCGGCTCACCGCGTCCCGCGGGCGCAGGTAGCGCCCCAGCGGCGCCCGCAGCTCGGGCCACGCGCCGTACCACTCGAAGGCGCGCCCGCCCCGCGCGCGGAAGAAGCGCTCCCAGTAGTCGGCCGAGGCGAAGTCGCGCGCGCGCCGCGGCAGCAGCCGCAGCCCCGCCATGGCCCGAGGGGAGGCGGGGCAGCGGCCGCGCGCCTTCTCATTGGCTCCTGGGGGCACGTGGGCGCGGCAGAGCCTCTGCGCAGGCGCCGCCGCCGCCGCCGCCGGACCGTGATGGCCGCCGCCGCTGCCGCCGGGAGGAGCGTGGTGTTCGTCACCGGCAACGCCAAGAAGCTGGAGGAGGTGGGCGGGGCGGGGCGGGGCGGGGCGGGAGAGGCCTCCCCCTGAAGCTCCCTGGGCGCCCGCGGGCCAGCCACGGATGCTCAGCCCGGCCTACCTGGCAAGGCTGTTGTTGTGAGCATAAAACGTGGGGGGAGGGCGCGGCCTTGGGCTCCTTGCAGGGAAGAAGCGGCGCATAAGTATCCTAAGCTCGTTGCCGTGATCCCCCCCGCGGTCGCGTCAAGCAGGTGCTTCCAGTCAGGAGGCGGGGGCTTCGCGCCCTCCTCCGCGGGACCTGGCGGGAGTTGCTCCTTCCAGGGAGGAGCGGAGCCCGGTGTGCCTCCAACCTGCTGTGCTCCGCAGGGGCCCGCTGGCCTGTCCCGGAGCCTGAGTGCTTCTCTCCCCCTCCCTCCTGCAGGTGATCCAGATCCTGGGGGACTCCTTCCCGCACAGACTGGTTGCAAAGAAAATAGACTGTGAGTTTCCTTCCTGTGCTTGCATGCATGTGGCCTGGTGCCTGGATGCACCTTGCCCAGACGAACACGTGGTATTTGCATTTCGCAGTGCCGGAGTACCAAGGAGAGCCTGATGACATCTCTATCCAGAAGTGCCAGGAAGCAGCAAAGCAGGTTCGTTTTTTGAATTTTGGTTTCTAAAACATTCTCAGGCAAGATTAGGGAAATGAATATTTGTCTCTGTTTTGGCCCCGATCTTTTCCTCACTGTGTTCACCTTAACAGATCCAGGGACCGGTTATAGTAGAAGACACCTGCTTGTGTTTCACAGCTCTTGGAGGACTTCCTGGGCCATATATGTAAGTAGGAGTTAAGGTGTGTGTTCTGCAGGTAGGCAATAACTGAAAAAGGATCAGGTGTCTTTAATGGGGTTCTCTGAACTCCGAATGCTCTTCTTCTATAGGGGGATAGAAATGGAATAGGGAAAGAGAAGCATAGTGTGCAAGGGAAGGGTACACCGATGACGGAACGCATAAGTCTGAGTGGCAGTGTATCTGGCTAGTTTGCATCATCTGACTATGTCTGGGGTCAAAGTGATCCGAAAATTGGCCAGTTCTACATTTGACACTGACAGAGGATTGTCATCTTATTCCACAGTGCCCTGGAAGTGTTGTACTGAAAGGTAACCTGTGTACGGGTTGGATGCATATTCAATCAGTGCTGTTCACTGATCAAACCTAAATATTAGTTAGGTTTTCCTGTTCATCGAGCAGTATTTGAGTACTTTTATTATGTATGACAATGAAGAATAAGATTTGTGTTTCTTGTTTCAGAAAATGGTTCCTGGAGAAGCTAAAGCCGGAAGGTAATTCAGGCATCAGTTTTCTGTACTACCTGCTCTTACTTTTTCTCCTGCCCTACTCTCCTATTTTGTAGTGTTTAATGAAGCTTTACTGTGTCGCCTACCAGCAAGTAACGCTTTTGCAGAGTTCTGGCTCATACCAAACTCATACATTGACTGTATTTCTCCATACTCCCATTATCATGCTTTTCACCCCAACTCAACAACTTTACCCTGGTGGAGAGTTCCAGTACCTTGCATGTTACCTGCCTCATTTCCCCCCGCCCCCAATTATTTCTTAATCTGTGCTTGGTCTGACTCACTAGGAACTGCCTGGGCTGTTTCTCAACTTACGTTTTTGTTTTTGTTTTTTTTGAATTACAGTTTTCAGCAGTATACCAGAGAGGCTTGTGACTCCTAAGTGTGTTTTAGATTTTGTGTCAGTTTGGCAGGAAAAGGTCCTGGTTTTTTAATTTGTACATGTATTTTGGTCTTAATTCACCCATTTTTTTCTTAGCCATACATTTTTTTAAGACAAAGTCAGTGAAAAAGAAAACAGTAGGCTGGGATGGAGAGGGAATGGAATGGACTGAATGTCAACGAGTGCTCAGTGTAGGATTCCCACGAAAGGGATTGCTTGGTTCGTGTGCCTGTGATGTGCTTGCTCAGTTTCCGAGCCTTTCCTCCTTGGCTCCTCCACGAATATGGGCTTGTCGAGCAACCCTTTCCACACAAGGAATTGTATGACGTCCCTTTTCCTGTGCTTAGGTCTGTACAAGCTATTGGCTGGGTTTGAAGACAAGTCTGCATATGCTCTCTGCACCTTTGCGTTCAGCACCGGCAACCCAGCGGACCCCGTGCGACTCTTCAAGGGCCAGACTCATGTGCGTACAGGCGGCTCTGTCTAGCCAGAGAGCTGCACTGCTCCCTCCGCTGCTTGTCTTCAGTTTCGCAGCTGTTAGTTCCATTTAGCATGAATGTGGAGCACTAAGTGTTTCTCCGTAATTCTTCCATCCATGCGGCACGTGAGGCAGTATCGTCATCGCAATAATGTGGGGCTTCCTGCTCTGCGGGGCCCGCCCTTCCAGATCTGTCCTTCCCATGGCATCCCTTGCTGTGGATTCCGTAGGGTAATTTGTTGAAGAGCGGAAGATCCTGCCTCCAGTCAGGGGTCGGCCCAGCGGCTTCCAGCTCTGAAGCGCTGTATTCTACTTCAGGCCTGGCCCCTTGTCACATTAATCTCCCCATAAGTGGGCAGAGCTTTCCATTACATCTGAATCCTGATGCTTCTTCCGAAAGGCTAGAATTGCTGCTCAGCAAATGGGAGGCAAGAGCTACTGGTGGGTTTTTTCCTGTCATCGCTCCTTTTAGCAGCAGCTGTCCCTAGAAGGGGGGAGTGTGCACAGTTAGCTACTAAAGGAGAGCAAATTCAGCAGTGGATCAGTGGAAAAGGCAGCCAGCCACCCCTGCTTCCCTGCAGTCCCCTCCAGCCGCCTCTGCCATTCTCAGGCGTAGCTGATACATTCTCAGCAGTCAAAGCCCGGCTTCTTTGTTCTTGACTGAGCACTGCAAAACATCTCTGGCTTTCTCTGTTGACTCACAGGGTCATATAGTTGATCCACGGGGACCCAGAGACTTCGGGTGGGATCCATGCTTCCAGCCGGAGGGTTATGATCAAACGTAAGTGCCACTCGCCTTCTTGTCTAGGTTATCCTGGCCTATTTGGAAGCCGCAGCTCTCAGGAGAGTACAATCCCTGCTCCAGGGAACTGCCTGTGCACCTCCACCCCGGCCTGCCTTGGCAGCCCGCACCCATCGCTGGCACCTTTCAACTGGCCCCCTGTGCTAAGGCTTCTGGCTTACCACATTCAAAATTTGTGGTTTTTCACAATTTGCTCTAGGAATGCAACCCGCACAAATTTTGGGGGACTACTGTACAGCAGGATTTCTCAGCAGGATTTCTCTTTACTTTGCATTCACGGTTTAGGCTGAGACGGGGGATGCAAGTTTAAGAGCAGGACAATAGCTGGTGCAGAATTAGTAGACTGCCGCAACTGTTCTCAGTCCTTCTTTCTGCCTTTCTTAGGTATGCCGAATTGCCCAAGTCTGTGAAGAATTCTATCTCTCATCGTTACAGAGCTTTGAAAGAGCTGTCTGCATATTTCAGTCAACAGAACAACACAACAGAGACCACACCTGGCCCCAGTTAGCCTGCCTGGTCCTGTGGGAAGTTGTGGATTTTGTACAGAAAGCTGTAGCTGCAACAGATCCATGTTTGTCTGCACAGATCATGTCCAGTAAAGATACTATCTTTAAAATCAGCCGTGACTGTCTTTGCTATTCTTAAATGCTACACAGACAGACGTGTGTTGAAGTATCAAAATTAGCACTAAAAATCCACTGGAGGATTTACACAGGAGAAAAACACTGGGTTGATGTTGCTCATCAGTGCGTTTGCCTCAGATGTTTGTAAGTGCTTCCTGATTGGAAGCCTTCCGCCCTTGCAAAAAATAGAGTTCAGTAGAAAGCCTCCTAAAAAGGATTCCTTCATATATATATATATATTTGCTCTGGGAAGCTGTCCAGATATTTGATTATCTAAGCTACAATCATAAATGGACTTATTTATGGGGTACATTTCACTGAATATAGTAGGACTAGAATAAACATGCATAGGATTGCACTGCTGATTTAACTGAAAACAGTTATGGACACTCCCTTTGCATTTGTCAAGTTGGTTTCTGCCTAAATGTTTTAAGTTCAGTAGAAAAAAACCCAAGAATTTGCACTGTGTGTGGAATGTGTAATCTATACAGAGGATTGCCGTGTCTGCCCCATCTCCTGCCACTGTGAGTGCTTCTTAAATGTGATTTCCCCACAAAGCATCTTTTTCTATGACACAGTGGAAGTACAGTTCCTCACACACGTGTACCTTGTACTGTTGTTCCATTGCTGTTGCTTGTACACATACGGGGTGTCTAATTGTAAAAAGTATCACTTTGCTTGTACCGGTTCCTGTGAGGAGTCTTGAGTGGCTGCTGTATAGCTATATAAATTGGCAAATTAAATGGCTGTTTTCCAATAGGACACTTGTAATTAGTAATCCAAAAATCTGAGTATTCATCTACATTGAGATGCATACCACGCCAAAGCCAACTGGCTCAACGAATTTGGTTTCCCGTTTCTAGAAACCCTGGGAAGCGTGGTTCTGTCGGAAATCACGGAATCCCTAGAATCTTCACAAACCTGCACTGCCTCGCCCTCGTCGTACCTGAGCTAAAATTCTTTGCCTACAGCATAGATGGGCTCTTGCCCTTCCGAAATGGGTCAGAAGCGCATCCTTCTCCGGGATCCTATTTATTTCAATAGCGTCCCGATTACTTCGGTAGGGTGTGTACAAGCGTGCCCGTTGCAACTGGTGTCTGCTTGGCGCTTGCACTGCGCCGAAGGAAGAGGAGGAGGCCCCCTGCAGCGGGCGACTGCATTCCAGCGCAGGGCGAACGCCGGGCTAAGGCCCCCGGATCAAGCGCCTCTCGGCCCTGGGGGCGGAGCTCTCTTTCCCTCCTCGCTCCCGGCACCGGGGTCTAATTCGGTGTTGGCCGCGACGGAGCAGATGGCAGGAGGAGGAGGAAGGGCTTCCCCGCCGGGTCTCCCCAGCCCCGCCCGCCGCCGCCGCGGGAGGCCACGCCCCCTGCGCAAGAGGCCTGGCGCGGCCGCCCCGCCCCCGGAGCGCCGAGCGGTCGATGGCGCCGCCCCTGCGCGCGGCCATTTCCGCGCCGGCCCGGCACGAGAGCAGGTGAGCGGGCGGGCGAGCGGCGCGCTCCCCGCGGGGAAGGGCGCGATCCCGGGGGCGGCCTGCCGGGGCGCGCCGCGGATCGGGCCCCGGGCGGCCCGATCCG